AAAAAAAAAAAAAAAAAAAAAAAAAAAAAAAAAAAAAAAAAAAAAAAAAAAAAAAAAAAAAAAAAAAAAAAAAAAAAAAAGTCGTTTTTGGGGAATAAATAGAATCATTTATTTTTCGAATTAAATTAGGTTGGGTATTAAAGTCATTATTTAAAATTTGTTTGTGTGTGACAACTAGATAGAAGAGTTTAGCAAGAATATAGAGGAGTACCCATTGCATTCAAACGGAATGATTAAAGCTCCAAAGATACTAGCGGATATAGTAGAATCATGCATTGGAGCAGTTTTCACAGATAGTAACTCGATCGACACAGTTTGGACGGTAAATACATTTAAAAAAACAACCCCGATCAAAATTTTGAATTATAATGGTAAGTTTTGATTGAAGTATAGGATGGTTTTATCTGTGTAGATATTCAAGGGTCTAATGGAGCCATTGATAACATTGAAGACCATGAAAAGACACCCGATGACGGAGCTGACTGAAATGTGTCAAAAAAGGAACCTGAAGTGGGAATTCGTGGACTTATGGGAAGAAAGAAAGGAGATTCACGTTCTGATAGACAAGCAGCTGGTTGGGAAAGGAAGCTATGGGAAGAAGCTCATTGCACAAAATCGAGCTGCAAAAGATGCTTTGGACAACTTCCACACAATTCTTGGCCAATTTAATGAACCTTGTCAACCTATGTAATCTATTCCTAATTATAATTACCCTTTTTATTTATTTATTTATTTATTAATTAATCATTCTTTTATCTCTTTCAAATCAGTGTTAATTCCAAAGTAATTTCTACAGTTGTTGTTATTATTTTTTTTAATAAACTATAAAGTTTTGATATATATATATATATATTATAAATTTTGGAGTTCTTTAACACCATGTTAGAAATCACACGACTCTCTATAATGGTATAATATTGTCTACTTTGAACATAACCTCTCTCATAGCTTTGTTTTCACTTTAAGCTTATTAAACATAAACTTTCATGACTTTGCTTTGGGCTTCCTTAAATAAAAAGAGTATTCCTTGATTATAAATTTATGGTCATTCCCTAAATTAGCAGACGTGAGACTTTTATCATATTTTGTCAAAAGTGGTGCTTTCAAAATATTTTGAATTTTAAATCTGAAAGCATTGAAAAATGCCTCAATTTGTTAGTAGATTTCGTTTTCGAGAAACAATTTCTTGCATTTAATATAGACAAACATTCCAAGTTTAAAGTCTTATATCAATTGGATAAAAAATTGGAAGTTGAATATCAAATAAAACAAAATTAAAATATAGAAGATTGAATCAAGAGGAATTTTTGGTGACCTATTAAATTAAAAAACGAAAAGCCTTAAAAGTTTTATTAATTTTGTTTGAGAGACCGTATTAGGCCGAATGTTCTTTTAGTTTCCTTCTAAACTGTGTGGGAAGGAAGGCACGTTTGTTATAAATTTCTCCTTCATGATAAGCATTTTTTGGGCCCTAAAATGGGAAATGGGTCGAGTCATCGAAGCTTCCAGAATCAAGCCCAATTACGATCCATCCACCGTCCATGGTTGACGCTCAAAAAATCCGATTTGGTTTTTCTTCTGGAAGTCGGAAGCTTTCGTCTCCGTTTCCTCACCTGAAAGATTCATAAATACTTCCAAATCCAACCTAACAATCTTCAATTTCGCTATTTTTTCCGATCGGATATAAGTTTTGCACAGGGAGAGATTCAGCTACGAAGAGGGCGCAGATTAGGAGGAGATGGATTTCGAGCTTAGAATGGCGAGAGAGAAGCTCGAGAAAGAGCAGAAGGAAAGGAAGGAGATGGCTAGACGAAAAGTGCAGAGGGAAAGGAAAGCTAAAGAAGAGGCAAGAAAGCAACGAGAAGCCATTGAAGCGGCTCAACTTTCAAGACGTCTCGATGCTGCCGAGGCCCGAATTAAGGTGCTCTCTACAGCTGATTTCTTTTTTCGTTTTCTAGATTTTCAGTTATATGCCCGATTTGTTTGGATATGTCGATCGTGATTCTATGTTTATGTTGATGAATTTTTTTGCTTGTGAATGGTGGTCGCATACGCATACGGATTGATCTCTTGCGTTTTTTCTTTTGTTTCTTGGATTGCTGAAGAAGCTATTTGGTTCTGAATCCAGACTGCGAGCTTTCAAGCATTCTCTATTCTCAGATGGTTATATATTCTTTTGTTATCCATTTATTCGACAGATAATTAGACTATTTTGTTGTCTGGAGGGATTAAAGCAAGGAAAATTCGTTCGTTCCTTGTATTTGAGTCTCTTGAAATGCAATTGCAATCGCCCAATAAACGCAATGGCTGAGCGTATTTATTGTTGTTTCAAAATTCTTGGCTCCTCGGTTGTGTCCAGGTTGATGTTTTCGGGATATGGGAACGTTTAAAATGCGCTCTCCTAAACGTTCACAACTTAGAAAACTTTCAATGACTGGAATGGGAAAGGGATATACTTGAATGTTGACATGCTTTTGTTGCCTCTTTTGTGCTTAACTTGCTTGGCATGATGCCTCCTGGCTTGGTTTTGTGAACGTGTTTGTTAGATGATGGTGAGATAACTAATCTGCTAAAAAGAGGGGGAGAAGCTGACTTCCAAAGTTTTGTTGTACAAAAGAGAGTGATCCATGTAAGGAAAGGATTATGTCTTCAAAAAGGATATTTGGAGCCTGATTTCTAGCTCAAAAACTAATTTTTTAATGATCTCTTAATCTATTTCATAGGAAGAAGGCTGAACATAACAGGATTGGGGGAACAATTTTTAAAGATTGTTTTTAAGAACTAGTACTGTCGTAAGTTGTATGGAACTCAAGAGTCCTAGAAAAGTTAATATCTTGTTTGGCTTGTCTTCATGGAAAGTCGAAATTTGGCTGACATAGTGCAGACAAATTGTCTCTTTTGGATGTAAAAATCTTAACTAAGAGATATGTATTGGATGAAACTTAATAAAAATTGAGAATTCCGTAGGATCAATGTGTTATAAATTATCACCTGATATAGAGCTGTAGTTATGTTCTCCATGCGTTTGTTGTCGTTTAACTTGGACATCTTCACCTTCTATTACCTGGTATTGTCAATAGGTATACGTGTAGAAAGAATTTGAGTTTGAAATTTTCTCTCCAGAATGGCATTTCTCCAATTGTCCACTTTTTTACGCATGGATTTTCCACTTTCCCTTTTGACAAAGGCTGTGAACATTCCAGGCTGATCAAATAATGGAGGAATCCTTGCTTGCGGGAAGAGGAATTACCTTTTACCGTGTTTTAGAAGCTATACCTTATGAGGGTAATGGAGACAAGATCAAGTTGCCCCCTTCTGGTTTCACAGAATTGTCTGATCAAGGTGCTTTTGATAAGGGGCCTGTGTACTTCCAACTATCAGTAGTACATCAAGGTCCTTCTGACTCGGACATCACTGAAGAAAAGACTCACAGAACCACCCGTTCTGGTGTGTTGGAGTTTACTGCAGCCGAAGGTTTTGTTGAACTGCCTCCTCATGTTTGGCGAAATTTATTTCTGGACGACTCCTCAACGAAACCATTAGTTGAAGTACGTTATGTGTGGCTACCCAAAGGAACCTATGCAAAGCTGCAACCAGAAGGTATAGGATTTTTGGACTTGCCAAATCCCAAAGCTATCCTTGAGACAAGTCTTCGTCAGCATGCCACCCTTTCTCAAGGTGATATTCTGACTGTTGTCTATGGGGAGCTTACATACAAGTTAAATGTTCTTGAGTTGAAACCATCTTCTAGTATATCCGTTTTAGAAACAGATATTGAGGTTGACATAGTTGGTCCTGATTCACCCTCTGGAACCATGGATCAACATGTTCTCAAGCTGCTAACTTTTAAGAAGCAGGAGTCTGGTATGGTTGAGGAAGGGTGTTATTCATATTACAAATTCTCCATAGACAACGATATATGGGATGTAATTTCTTCCGGAAATGCAAGGGTCGAAGTAAAGTTTGAAGTGGAGACTAATGAAGGAGATACAAACATTTACATTTCTAAGCATCCTCTCATATTTCCTACTCAGCACCAGCATTCTTGGTCTTCGCATGATATTGGTTCAAAGGTCCTAATCCTTAACTCTAGAGATAAAAACTTCGGGTCTGGTACTTATAGCATTGGAGTCTATGGATTTAAGGGAACTTCAAAGTACCAAATCACGGTGAGTATCGAGGATGTCACAAACCATAAAGTGGGTAGACAGGAAGTCTCTTCATCAACATTTATAGACCAGGATACTGCAGAATGTCGGAATTGCAAGCATTACATGCCCAGTCGAACTATAGCTTTGCATGAAGCTTACTGCAGTAGACACAACATTGTTTGCAAGCATGCTGACTGTGGCGTGGTCCTTAGAGTGGAAGAGGCAAAGAATCATGTGCATTGTGATAAATGTGGACAAGCTCTTCAGAAAAGTGAGATGGAGAAGCACGACAAGGTGTTCCATGTACCACTCAAATGTGCTTGTGGAGTAGTCCTTGAGAAAGAAGAGATGGTAAGCAGCTAATCTTTGTGCTTTTCCTGATGAATCTTTCTTGATTTAGTCTACAAATGTGTTTCAGTCAAGATTTTCTTTGTTAGTTCACGAAGGCATCCCATTACTATCGTTGTAAACAAAAATTTCCTTCAATGTATTGTTGACAGGTGCAACATCAAGCGTTGGTTTGCCCACTGCGCCTGATCACATGTCAGTTCTGCGGGGACATGGTTCAAGCTGGAAGTTCTGCTATGGACATCCGAGACAGACTGAGAGGGCTGTCTGAGCATGAAAGCATTTGTGGGTCCAGAACAGCGCCATGTGATTCTTGTGGACGTGCAGTGATGTTGAAGGAGATGGACATCCATCAAATCGCTGTTCATCAAAAGAGCTAGTTTCTGGTGCAGCCTGCAAGAGCAATGTGATATCAACATTGTCAACATGGCAGGAGATTAGCAGAGATGCAATGGAATGGTCGAATAAATTGGTGAGTTTAGTAGAAAGTGTTGCATGGTTTTATTCTTTGAACACCCTCAGCTAGGAATTTAAAGATTGTTGTGGATATCAACATTGGCAATGACATCATGAAATTAGTGTATAATATAGTGCTTGAAATTTATTGTACAGTAATGCCTGGAAGGAACCCAGCAAGATGCAGTTTATCTGTTTGTTTGTTTCTAAGTACAACAAATGGGTTAGGGGATGAGTAAGACTTGACAAATTTGGGATTGCCCATCTCAAAGGGAACTTGAACAAGATGACCAACATTGAACTAGGAGGGCCTGCTCTGCATCTGTTTTTTCTGCACTTACCTTCACTTTGCTTCTTGTTTTTTCTTTTTTTCGCATTTACCCATTACACTACCATGAATTTAAGTGGTTACAAATAGTATTAGACCAAATATCGGGAACGCGGTAGTTTCTAAATTTTAAAATTTCTTCCCATTTTATTACAATGGAAAATTTTAGGTAAAGTTCAAATAAATAAAAACAAAAGAGTTTTGTTCCACGTTTTAGTAGCTTTGGATAAATTTAAAAATATGAATTAAATTGTTTCAAAACACCGAAGTAGGGCCGCATTTAGGAGGGTCCCACACTGTCCCAATTAATGTTCTCCATACCATGACAGCTTAGATGACCTTTGAATTGGGTTATTTTCTCATTTTCTAATTTTCAATTCTAAAAATAGTTGTTTATTATGTAACTCGGAATAATTATGTCAAAAAAAAAAAAAAAAAAAAAAAAAAAAAAAAAAAAAAAAAAAAAAAAAAAAAAAAAAAAAAA